GGAAAGAAATTTTACTTTTTACTTTTTTCGTGTATGAGTGGTACACTTAACTAACTGACCCAGAAAACCCTGTCTTAATATATAATAAATTAGGGCCCGGGACTTATTGATCTAAAAACATATAAAACAAATACACGAAAAAAAGCATAAAATGAAATAAAAACGTTAACGATAAAAATATGAACGTCGATAATCGACAAGCTAATCAAGATTGAATATATTATAATAAAGTGTAAATTTTAACAAGAAAAATGCAAATCTATGTAAAAAAAAAAAAAAAAGTACAGAAATGAATAAAACGTACCAAAAATACTAAAAAATGACCGTAAGACATGATATTCCACGAAAATGCAAGAAATTCAAAACAAAAATTGTACCATTAAATTCTTTAATCCATGAATCAAATTTCTATAAAGACGAGCAACACAGAGTAAAAGAAAAAAAAATGAAATTCCATCACGTGCCGGGCCCTAGTAAAATAATATGTATGTGATTAAAAACCGATTACAGATTTTTATTCATAAATATTCATGTTCAAAAGTATTTTATTTAATGTTCTCCGGTACAAAGTGGCAACGTCGCATCATATTCGTGCTCAGTCGTGTTGCCCTTCGAGGTATTTGGGTCCCTAATGTCCCTATTGTTGGATTGCAACCGCGCTCAATCGACTTGTAAAAAAGGTCGATCGTGCCCAATCGGATTCCAGCCCGGTGACAGCGTCCGACCACTATGTGCACGTGTACAATACCTGCTGTCTGCACCGCGCGCTTCCCCACCCAGACCGCGGCCACTGTTCGTTGGCCACGAACGAGAATACGATCGGTTCGCCGATTACGCGGTGGCCGACGCCCCGTCCACTGTTCGGTGAGCGGAATAATCCGAACGCCGTCAATGTCGTAATCGCCCCAAACGCGCGTTTTCTATTCAGACCGTCGAGGACGTCGCTATGCTTTATCACTCCTCGTCGGTAGTTTAGCCTACGACCGCTGTACGTCGACGCGTACCAACAATCAGTCGTTTACACAATATTATTAAATTATCTATCGGTTGGGTCACCGACGATGGTGATAGGTATTATATCGTCCCTATAAAATATTGTGCACTCGTAGAGGGTACAAAAATTAGTTTTTCAACTTAAACGCGTCTGTTATTCACAATATTATTACGATGTATGTATGAATGAATATCATAAAAAACAATAAAATATTTTCTTATGTGGTATTTCCGTTCGGTTATACACGTGCAAAATCCACCGTATTTCTTAAAACACATTTCTTATTGCCATTTCATAAACGAGGAAGTACGTATAAAACCATACAGGTAAGCATATAATAGATGTGTGCGTTCAATAATGTCTCCAATGTTAAAAAAATATATATATATATTATTGCCTTAACCAAAGCGCGTAACAATCGAAATATTTCGGCTTACTATTTCCTCCCAACTGTAAATCATTGTCATCTGGAGTTCCGAATCGATAAAATATTACATACGAAACTATATATATTAATCGTTTCACAAATCACAATGTTATTTTATGTTTGGCAATAAAATCGTTTTACATAATACGTATTATCTGTGCGTGAAACGTTTATGTGTACAATGTACATAAATAAATACATCGCACATATACAAATAATCTAAGTGTATACCCAGGGGCGTCATTTGAGGATCAGGACGTGTGGTTGCACTACTTACTTTTAAAATAGTTCGAATTGGCCTGTGCTCTGCTGAGATAATGCTCAAAATTAAATCTTAAATTGTATTTTAATTGTTATATTGACATTTATCAACATTGGTATACAGTCATAATGATAACAACTATAAATTACATTGGTTATAAACAAATATAATGCTATCAATTAATTGAGTAAACCGGATGACAGGTTATTGTCCAAAAATTATTTATTTTTTTACTGTTTTTATCGCATTTTACACCGCATGGTAATTGCTATGACTAATAGATTATCTATTTATTATAATAACTGATAATATTATAAAATCCACATGCATACTACTTTGTCAAATTATAAAATAAGTAAAACTTAGTTTAATTATAATTTTACGTATAAAAAACGACAATTTATAAATGTCAATATTAAGTACTTTTTTTATTTTTTGCTGTTGCATTTCTTCTTCTAGCTTTTTATACATGAATTACTATTTTTCACTATTAAAATAAATAATTATTTATTATATTTTAATTTTTAAATTGATTTTACTATTTTATATTGATTCAATGATTTAGTCCATGATTTATGGAAATAATTAAAAGCAGAATAATGTACTTATGTACGTATACACATATCTATTTTTATATGGCTAGGTGAAATTTCATAATGGTCTGCTTGAAACCTACTCGCACATCCGAAAAAACATGAAACGACGCCCATGTGTCATCACATAAAAAGAATCAAAAATTTTAATACGTGGTGTTCAATGTGTGTAATGGTTAGTCTAAATTATTATAATTTATAATCTATCAAAATTTATATCTCATATTATCGTATAGGAAGGAAAATTATGCTCGTTTGATGATACACTATGTATATTTATATTATGTTTATAAGTAACCTGCAAAGAAAAGTATTCAATAAAACGTCTTGTATAAGAAAAAAATTGGCGGGGGACTAATACTATGCATGGCCCGTGTACCTATACAATAATGACGGAGGGTCAATTGTACACATACTACGTTTTTTGTAACGTAAAAAATAATAATAGTCAATACCTAATCTATATCCGTTTTGCCAAGACCGTCGTTTTGAGCGTGGCGGCAACTCATGGAACACAATCCACAGGTAGTTAGTCCTCAGTCCACAGTCCTCTAACCTAAACAGTGTCATTATTTCTCTAGCCGTTGTACTAGCATGTTGTCCCTACTATAATATTATTTCAGCTATACCAAAATCATAGTGGTTCTTTTTAATCCTTCATCAACATTGTGGTTGAAAGTATAATTACTTAAATCCGACATTGCATACGGTTTTAAATCCATCCATTTTACTACGTTTCAAAATCAAAATCATTCGCTCAAGTCGGTCGTGTAGTTGTAACGAAGCAGGATTACCCAGCGGTCTCGACAAAGAACTCTTCTAAACAAACTTTAATTATAGAAGGTAAGTTTTCTTGAGTAAATTAATTATTTAGAATATTTCTTAACTGCAATGTAAAACTAACTTAGGTGTTTGTGTACGTATATTTTAAATACTTTGTCCAGCGAGGGAAAGCGTTGCGGCTCGACATTAATCGATTCTTCTGTGCGTTTCCACTCGATACACAGCCACCGAGACCGGTCGACTACGGTGAGATGACGACACGTGGTGATGCGCAGAATTGGTGAATTCTTTCATTGAATAATGTATTTATGTACATGTGTGCAACAATTACACAGGTAATATCTCACGAAATATGTTAGTAGGCATTGTTCATTTTTTTATATCTAGTAGCACAAAATCATTTTTGTCTGAAACAGAACTAAATTAAAAATTAATTATAAAAAATAACAAAAGTAATTTAAATGTAAATAGTTAAAACCAAGAAAACAAAATAAAATTATGAAGCGATATTCAGTTTTTAAATACAGCACTTTCACGTTTTTGACAAATAAATAGCATATTATTACTGTGAGATCATCATTAATATTTTTTACAACATATCGTTAGTGGTATTTATTGCTACAAAAAATACACTCAACACCAAAGTTAGTATTTTATATTTCAGTCACACAAAATACAATAATATACATTAGTTTCAACTATGCTACTATTCGAGTTTGTATTAGTAGCTCCTTCAAAAAGTATAACTGTATTAATAATATTTCTAAAAAACTTCAAACCTATAGTTTGGCTAGTCACAGCTTTTATTTTTTTCATATTTATTTAGTGCTGGAAAAAGACTTCTTATCACATTTTGCTTTTAAAATAGTATTTTTTTTTCTATTTCAATTATTTGTATTGAATTTTATTTTTCCGAGTTGAGGGCAAAATAATATAATATTTATTAACATTTATTTTTTTGACCATTTTGATCTCAACTATTGGAAATAATCTAAGTCAATTAATTAATTTTACCATTCAAATATTATCTGGATCACTGGTAAACCACCTCATGCCACACTAAATAAAAAAAATATTCCAACTAAATAGTTAATGAATGTATACAATTTATTCAATAATTGTTTTAAGAAAAAACAATTTTAAAAAACAAATTTAATTAAAAATATTATTTTTATTATAAATTATAAGTTATAATTTATAACTTTATTCCATGATTGATTACCTAACTGTGCTATTTAACCATCAGTAGAAAGGCTTAAAAAAAAAATCTCAATAACGTTTTATAAATATTACCTAACTTAAGAAAATTATTTATTTTTTATAGTCATTATGTTTTATATAAAAAATGTGTTCTTTTTAATTTTAACATTTTGCCAACCCATAAATTAATGAATTTATTTGATCAAATAAAATACGAATATATCACCTATATTAAAATGTACTAATACTTAGTATAATAATATAAATCAATATATTTTATAGCTAAATTAAGATCTTGTACGATAGCTAACATTTCAATAGTTATTATATAATCCCTTTTAAATACCATTGTCTCTCCTTTTGATTTTTAATGTGTTAGGTACTGTTGCATAGAATTGTTAACTGAGCTCATGAATCCATTTTGACCGAATTACATCAGATTTTTTTAGTAAATATGGTAAAAGTAGGTAATATCAATAGATATCTTGCTCGTGATTTTTAATATTTCTAGTTTCTAGTTACTAATTATTACGTCAAAACAATTGCCTAAATAACTAATGGTGTCTACTGATTGACACTCGAAAACACGATCGTCTCCACTTGTGATTGCAGTAGATTCAATAATTATTTACACGTTGGTTATTGTCTTACGTGTTCTTTTATTTGCAGGACATAGAAGGTTCGATATACACGGTGATGACGATGGAAAACAACAAAAATTATACGGTACCCAGTTTGATGATGTCGGCATACCACGCGTATAACCAGATCCAGCGCGACGCGCACTACACGCTGCCCGTTGGTTTCGTAGATCTGCAGTCGTGTTGTCGTCTGCTGTTGGAACTCCTCAAGCTGAACACGGACAACGGTAATTTCAAACCGTTGAACGACAGGAGGAATATGTACGACAAAGTGCAGGCCATCACTGGTGATTTGAAATTTAAAAACACGTGTAACATAGCCGCGTTCCACGGGCACATTAACTGTTTAAAGATGGCCCGCGAGATTGGTTGCCCCTGGGACGAATCGACGACCACGTCCGCGATCGTCGCCGGACGCCTGGACTGTCTCATTTACGCGCACGACAACGGTTGCCCTTGGGACGTGTCCACGACCGCATCCGCTGCCTTCGCCGGGCGCCTGGACTGCCTCATTTACGCGCACGAAAACGGTTGCCCCTGGGACTCGTCGACCGCCACGTTCGCCGCCATGTCCGGTCATATTAATTGTCTCCATTATGCAATTGAAAACGAGTGTCCGTACGAATATCTGATTTGCGCCGAGTCGGCGAAGCACGGGCACCTAGATTGTCTACAGTACCTGCACGAGCACGGGGTCCCCTGGGATGATTGGACCTGCACCATTGCCGCGTATCGAGGACATCTCGAGTGTCTCAAATACGCCCATCAAAACGGATGTGCGTGGGACGAGTGGACGTGCTCCGCATCCGCAGCGGGTGGATTCGTCAAGTGTCTGATGTATGCACATCAAAATGGTTGTCAGTGGAATGAACTCACGTTCAGCGGTTCCTTTCACTCGCAGAATCAGGAGTGCTTACAGTACGCGTGGGCTAACGGCTGTCCTTGTGACGGTATGACATGCGCCGAGGGACCAGGTGATGGACGGTTAGACTGTATGTTGCCGTCAGCGCCTAAGCACCGTTGTTTATGGGAAAAAGAACAATTTAAACTGGAATTTTATCACGAAATCAATATACCTCAATTCAATGAAAGTTCGATCAGAGTGCTAAGACTTTTTGATGTAATATAAATTAATATTTTTTTAAAAACAATTCTGCGAGTATATTTTTGAAACTCTTTTTACTAAAAATTGATACAAACATATTAATACAAACAATGTATTTTATTTACTTATTTTCAAAATTAATTTTTCAACATTATTCTACATATATGTTTTGCGGATAAATCATTAGACTGCTGAGCTAATGAAAAATTAAAACTTATAAACCAATTTAACATTATGAAAAATAATAGATGTTTTTTATTATTATTGTTATTACTATTTGTATTTATTGTAGCACTTAAATGTTTCGATTAAATTTTCAATTTAAATATTTAAATGTCATAAATATACATACTTATTAAGTAAAAAATAAACAAATATGTTTTTAAATATTTTTATTTTTATACAAAATTTAAATCCATTCTTTACTGATGATATTTAAATTTTTCTCAAAACTGATACCCAGAATAATTGTGTACATTTACAGGAGGAGTTTGTTAAATGATAACATAGTGAAAAATATAAGGATATCTCTTAGCCTATATAAATGTAAATCTATGTCTTTTACTAGAAGCCGTTCACCTCGTAAATTATTTTATAAGATTAATATTACCTATCGTCCTCGACTTCACAAATAATTATATTTATGATCTATAGACTTCATCTTTGTTGCTTCAGTATGCTTAAAAGTTCATTTTGATTATATCACTTTCAAGGTTTATATTATAAGCCTTATAATATAAGGTGTTAAGTTTTATAAATTTAATTATTATAAAATTTAAATTATCTAGGTTTTTAAAGGCGTTATACCGTAACTTTGTCAAGTCTATCCCTGAATATGGTTGTGTTGTAAGGATAATTTTCACTTTATAGTATATCGCTAGTAAATAAAACGTGTCCAGCGTAAAATTTTAAACTTTGCTGGGTTCAAATTAAATACTATCCATCCTCTTCATGAATACGACCCAGTACTTCATTACTCGAATATCCTATCCCTTACTGATCGTCGCTTTGCTCATGACATAGAATAATCTTCCTGCAGAATCTCATTTGTGATAAAATTGGGATAAATACTGTAATTAGGCTTTCCATCCGTTAAACTAATAAAATAAATAAATTACTCGTCTAAAATTAAACAATTATTATCTATGTATATTTGGGTATTAGTAATTAAATTATAGACTCAAACCAGTATTTTAAATATATTAAAGTGAACCAAATTATGTTTTAATATGAAAATAATAATATATCAACATTACTTAAACCTCAACGGCTTAACGGGCTATCAAGTATTACTCAGTTAAAATACTTTAAAATTATGATTTATACATTATATTAGAAAAATAGCCAAAATAAGTACTTGCAGTAGATTTTATACTATTATAATTTATAGTAGTAGTGTAAACAGTGTAGTACTATTATAAAATAGCTTATAAAATATATTTATGTTAATGATCGATACAATATACAGACACATAATCATATTATATAAGAGTATTTCTGCAAAAATTATTGTACAAAATATACAGTGCTTATTGAGTCGCGACTGCTGCTACGAATTTGATGGTTGTCGGCCGTGATTCGCGAAGTGTTGGGACGTAAGGTTACCCACCGGTTGGTATAAACAATAAAAAATAATTTACAGCGCCATGCGCACCAAGTTATAACATGGTATAAATGAAAATATGGTTACACATAAATAATTATAATAATGATGGGCGCCCGAAGCGAACACGATAGTATAAAAAATATTAATAATAGCAAAACATAGGTACGCTCCACCCGTATGAGGACGCTTACAACACAAAAATACAAAATTACAAGTTACCAAATACCTCGACTGCGATGGTAACACGACGATCGACGATCGCAGCAAAATGAGACTGAGCCGCAACACCAATCCTCCACGCCGGCGAGGCGACAACGGCTTGAGACGAACACGCCTAATGACGATCACGTCTATGGCGGAGGTGGCACACGCGACAACGGCGGCCGTTTGCGAACCGACAGATGACGGCGATGTGTATAATAAATTCTACGGCGGAACAACGCGATTATACGCGTTCGAGTACCTATGCGTCAACGAGGTAGCACGGCTTTCCCTCTCGACACACTATTGTTGACGCACTTAAAAACACGTGGTTTGCACGACGGATTTTGGAAGTCGACGATACGACAAATCGCTCGAACAAGACTTCGAGCCGAGCGTCAAGACTCTTCACCACACGCAGCGATCACGCTGACGATTGCGTTCGACGTGTCGCGCGACCAAGAAAAACGTAAAGGTATGTTTATACTAGTGCGCTTTTTTGTGCGTTTGATGCATGCATCATAGCGCACCACGAGTTGCACGAAAAAGCTTGCAATAACGTATGTCCTTTCGAGTTGAACGCCATCATTTTCGTGATGCACGCTTAAACGCAAGGACTTCCGCGCTCATTGGGAATCCGTTCAACACGCCGTGCTTTTTAGGCAATTACTTTTTGTTTACCAATTTGTTTTTTACTAAAAATGGCTGAAACCGAAGACCAAAACCAAAATATAATATATAAATATAAAAAATAAAATATATATAAAAATAAAATAACAATTAATTATATTATATTATATTTTATTTTATTTAATAAAATATAAAATATATACAACGCACGCGAGACGGCGGCGGACGTGTGAAGAAAGGTCCGCAAAGTCCGAACGTCGGAGATCAAAAGCGATGAATCCAACTTGACGGTCAACTGCGTCGGCTATGACGGAGCGGGTGGCGTTGACAACTTCGCGAACTTTTACAGTCGTACCAATTTAGGGGAACCGGTTAGCCGAATCGATGGCGGGATATGTATCCGCGTTCGAACAATACTTAAAAGCTATTAATACTTTTAATCTACTGAAAAAAATCTTATTGATTGACGATGGTCATTTAATCGTCTTAACTCTTTTTTAAATACAAATACTTACAAATTTCTATTAAGTACCTATAAAAAAAATTGTAAATATCTATTATCTGGCTCAAAGAATTTTATATCATAAATATTATACTAATTCTTTGTTTTTAATTTTATGTATTTCTTCATTTAGTTGTTATGCTTATAATAGCAAATTAAAACAATATTATAAATTATAATATAAACATTTCCAATTTTATTTTGTAAGTATTTATTTAGTTTATAAATTAATAATTACTTCAGTCAACTCATGGTACTAATAACGAATTCCGAGAGACTGAGAAAAAAGTTTATTGTATCAAATATAGGTAATGTTGTATCAATACTCTTTAGTATACAATAGTATACTAAGATATTTTTAACGACTGCGAATGTTTTATTTTTTCTCGATAAACTCAAAAGCTAAATTAATTTTGATGTGGTTTTCAGTTTTTACTAGTGTTCAAAGAAGTTCAAATAGAATAAGATTATAGTTTTAATACCACTAACCAAACCAACAACTACTGACGCCAGAAACTGAGTAGCAAAACATAAAATGAATATACATACAAACCAATACGATAAACTTTCTGGCAATATGTTGAAAGCCATTAATCTTGAACGTTTGAAAAAGTTATATGCAACATTTTCAATTCCTCAATTATTAACAGAATATGACATCGGAGATAGTGAATTAATGCCCATATCCGTTGATTCTGATATAATATTAACGAATAATGAACATTTTACGCCGTTATGGTATTACGATAATACCGAATTCGATTGTCGAGATGCTGATGAATGGGTAAAAAAAGATAATAATGGAGTTAAATCACCAGTACCTGCAATTGTTTACTTGCCTACTAATTCAAATGAAGAATTTTCTAAAAATTATGATTGGATGAATGCAAATGTAATAGATTATAATTCAAAATTGAAAATGTATTCAGTTATTGTATCAATTAATAATTTCACCAAAGTTTATCCCGAAATACCTAGAATACAAATACACTTTAAAGGAGAAGATCCTAGAGAATTCGTTAAGAGAATCGATTATGCGATTTCAAGACGAAATTATTGTGAAGATATTTATAAGTAAGATACTTCATTTATTTGTCTGTTTTGTACGATTACAATTTAAAGGTGTCCATTGTGAAAAATTTTGGAAGTGTATAATATTATATATTTGATAAATACGAATATTGAATGAAGATGAATTTTTTAAATTACATATCTATAAATTTTTATAGACTTCCAGTTTGCCAATCATAAAATCTTTTGTAAACCTAACGTAACCTTTATTTAACAGAATATTCTACGATATTAACAATTTTTATAAGCGATGATATTTAATTATAACTATAAAAAATACTCATGTTGCTTTTAAGTTTTAAAAATATGATCATTAAACTATAAAACAATTTTAAATAAGAACAAAAATACCAATCTAACACTTGTTTTATTTTATGGATACTTTTGTTACACTATATGATAATAAATATTAATTGTTTATTTCCGATAATAAATATGGCAAGCAATTGTGATAATATTATTTTTCTAGGTGGTCTATGTATATTAATAAAGTTTTAATTGATAAACGTTCCAAGTCTAGTTCTGACAAATTACCAAATGATATAATCAAAAAAATATTGTACCTAGTATTTAACAACCAAAAAATCAAAAAAATGATTCCAGATAAAAATATCGTAAGAATTATAATATTATATAAAAAAAAAATCATTATTACGGGTTTTAAGAACTTAAGCCTCGAAAAGTTTCAAAAATTTATGATGGCTTCTCAAAGATACGATTAGCTTAATAGCTAAATAATTTAGTATACCTATGATTATAATAAACATATTATAAACATGCGCATAATATAATTCCGCACCTGAATCATTTTTTCGATTAAACGCAATAACTAATTATAATTAAAGGGAACTCCAAAAAATACATTTCACGTGTTTAAATAATACTATAACAAACAATGGATATGACTTACGACATTTAATTTATTACCAATATATAAAAATAGTATTTTTAAGAGTTTATTAACATATAAATAGGTATTAATTTTAATATTTCCTTAAATTTCATAAAATTAGTTCAAAAAAATATATAAAAAAATTACATAGATACACAAAAAACAATCGATTGATCCGTGTTAACTAGTTCACGAATAATACAAACCATTTTATACAAAAAAAGATTCTGAGTATAGATTATTGTCTATCAGCTTCTTCACTAAAAACATTATTCATCAAAAGTTTATTAAAATTAATACGGTATGTCAATTGAATTGTTGTCAAAAACATAACATTTATTTAATATTAATATTTAAATTATTATAATAATACATATAATTTAAATTGTATTACATTAATGTTATTAACTTTTGATTCATACCACATTTTCGTAAAACAGTATGAATGTGTTCATTATTATATAAATTGATAATATTTTAAAATTAACCAACATATTTTGAAAATTGCATTGTGTGCAGTAAAATACATGTAAAAGTTTTAAATTTCTGTGGATAATATTTTAGAGTTAAAATGAAATAAAGAACATATTCATCATTTAAATATGTAATTTCATCCATATTTATAAACTTCAAATATACATGAAAAAATTAATTTTAAATTAAAAGCTATTCAAATGCGTTAATAAATAATAGTCGATAAATATGAAAATTGAAACACATTTTTGTATGACATCGAAATAAAATATGACCAATAATATCCAAAGATAAAAAAAATAAATTAAAAGTACCTATAATTCAAAACATCTTAAAAAGTTAGAAAATATAATAATTTACATAACTCGTTTAAAAAAAAAATAACAAATTTTTAATTTTCCTTCTATGTACATATTTACGTATATTACAATATATACAACGAAATATATTAGACTTTTACTGTCTATACTTCTAGTATTTTTTTGCTCACCTAAAAATGTGAAATAGTACGCCATAATTTACTATTACAATTATTTTTATTTTTATTATCTCAATTATATTTGTATAGGTGATTGAACAAATTAATAACATTTATCAAGAATCATGCCTGTCTTTTAGGCTTCAATTATTAAAATCTTTATCTAAAGACCATCATAATACTCTAAAAATACCAAATTTTGATTTTGAACTGTTCACAAGAAAGCTTGATATAGCTAGTACTATATTTGGTATGTATTGTAATAATTACATTATTATATAATTATCTTATACTTATTTTATTTTTAGCTTTTTTTTTTTTTTTATTATTATTCTATGTTATATTCTAATATTTTTATTTTGTTTAAATTATTGTCATTTACGTTTGTAAATCTAATACTCCATTTTATGCTGTAATTGAACCTAAGTATTTTATAAATAAAACAAACATGACTATGTATTTATTATTTTAAAATATTTAACAGAACAATCTACTTTAATGGATAAAAAAAAAAAAATTTTTAAATATCAGTGAAGAATTCAATAGAAGAAGTCTATTACAATTACCTGAAGTGTATAAATCTCTCTGTGACTCCAATATAGAAATTACTTTAATAAAAAATACACAATTATTATTCACTGATTTTGAATTCAATGTAACACTAGATGAATTTAAAAAAACACAGTTAAAAAATATGTCTGAAGTAATTTTTTTATGATTATTGTTTTAGCAAAATATTAAATATTTTATTAAATTACATGTAATTAGACATTTAATGTACTTAAAAACTTGTGGATAAAAGAAATAGCTTCTAAATGTCGTGCAGCTTTAGTAAATATAAAAACAGGTTGGTTTAACATTTCAATAAATAAAATTGAAACTTATGAACCATCAATCAATAAGTTACAAAGATTAATGACGCTTATTACTCATATGATGGAAGTACGTAATTATATATTTTTATAGTAGGTTATTTACCTATATCACTTCACTTTATAACATAGTAAAATTATATCATTATAGGAACGTCTTAAACAAATGGTGTTAAATTCAATAAAAAGTTATGCTAGACTAATCGAGCAGCCTTGTATTCCAATGAAAGGTATTAATGATGATTTTGTTTGGGGTAGTAATTTAAATAAAACACCATTTGAAGAACATGCACCTCCGTTATTTTCTTTAAAACTCAATATGAATAAAAATGGTGCATATTACTCTACTGATCCAGATAAATTTGAGGTATGTTACTTGTATAAATACTGTAAACAAATACATTTTAATTTAAAAAAAAGTTTACATTATTTCACACAGTAGATATATTTTTTTTTTAATTTAACAAGGCAATTGATAATTTTAAAATACTAAGTGTACCTTTGTATTTTATAATATTTTTAGGACAAGGGAAAAATAAACAATTGGTACCTATATTATTTATAGAATAAAAAAATAAAAACAGTAATAATTATAGTATCTATATATTTTAATTTTTATTATATATTCAATTATAAAAAGATATTTATATAAGAAAATATTTTTTATTATTAACCTAAATGAAATAAGTAACAAAATATCAATGTGCAGTTGAATGTATAGATAATATTAGTAGGACATAATAGATATATTTATAAATTCCACAGTTTGTTATTGTAAGTTTATTAAAAAATATGATACTTGAAAGTCACACTATACCAGCCATTCATCCCTTTGTTCTCAAGAACTTGAAACATTTCGAAAATCTTTGTTTAATATCAATAGGGCTAATTGACCCCAAAATTATTGAACTACAAGCTATTATTGAAAACAGTATTCGCTTAGCTATTATTCCATTAAAAGCATACTGCAAAGAATTTCAAATTCATTCACATTTATATAATACAGATGTCGATTCATATGTAAAGTAAGTATAAAGAAATTTATTAATTTTATTATCTAATACAACTAAATAACATACGCTATACATACTATTATATTTAAAAGAAAATTCTTTGATGGTAATCCATCACTAATTGAAATAGAAGAAGAAATATCAATGCAAATAAAAATGAAGTTAAACCTAGAAAAGACATTTCCTGAAACTATTACTATTGGTCTATTTTTCATAAATATTGAATCGTTGAAAAATATATTAATAGTGAAACGGATTGGATTAGCTGATTTAATTATGAAAACACATGCTAGTTTAACGACTGAGAAAATAGAAATATGCTGCACAGAATACAAAAAGATGTATCAGAGGCTTATTGAAGTTCCAACAACAGTAGAACAAGTGTTTGAAATAAAAGAATGGATAGATACTTTGCCAATTTTAATTAGCGATCAGTCTGAAATCGTAAGACGATTATTAAAGGTAACATAATATTAAATTACTTATAAAATAACACCATTTTAGATAGGTACTATAATTTTATTATTAATTTATTTATTATTTACAGGAAATGGAAATGTTAGATAAATTTTTGTGGATAGTAGAAGATGAACAAATGAAATTAAAATTCAACTCCCAAATTTGGCCTTATAAGATTCAATTAAGAGTAAAAGAGGCTTTGGAAAATATAGAAATAAATATTGAACAATTTGAAAAGATTCAAATCGAAGATGAATTGTTATTACAAGATAATGTAGAATACTTAAGTAGTGTTATTTTAAAATTAACTATTGAAAATGATTTATCAAAAGTTAATGAAATTACCGTTGAAGTAAACAAAAATTGGAAACTTATTAAAGAACTTCAATTAACTGGTCAAACTTTAAACCTAAGACAAAAACTCTTTGGTCATACGGTAAGGACAATTAAGTACAACAAATGTTGTTTTATTATTATTTATCAAAACCAATAGTTAACTAAATAAGCAATAATCTATATTAAAGTTGTATAATTAGGTAACTCCCTTTGAAAACATCGAGTATTTAGTGAATGAATTTAAACCATATAAAATATTATGGCAAAGTGCTTCAGAGTTTTTTAAATTAAAAAATGCTTGGATGCAAAATCCGTTAATAAACATTGAAAAATCTACAATAGAACCTTCGTTAAACAATTTATTAAATATTGTCACAAAATCTGTTGAACAATTCGCTGAAGTACCTGGTAACAATAATAAATGGACCTAAGTTATTTTTTAATTATAAATTGTTTTAAATATTTTTTTGCTTTTTATTAATGAGTATAGGTACTTTAAGTGTAGCCAATGAAATAAAAACACAAATTGAAGAATACGTACCAATGGTACATTTATTGAGTTATATACTAACTCAAGGGATGAAGCAAAGGCATTGGGATATATTTACTAATAGAACTGGTGAATAATTATTAATTATTATCGTAATATTGGTACAATATTATTAGTACCTATACCTATTATAGTATCTTATACATATACATTAAAAATATTAAATAAAGGAGTAAAAATTGTTTTAGGAATAAAAATTATATTATCACCATTGCTGACTTTTAAAAAATGTTTGGCAATGGGGGTTCATAACCATGTAGAAGAGATAAAACAAATATCAGATAATGCTTCAAAAGAATATACAATTGAAGTAGCTTTAAATAAAATGATGGATGAATGGCCTAGTGTTAAGTTACAATTGTTGCCTTATAATGATAAAGACATGTATATATCAACAATATCAGATAAAGAATTACAAATGCTCGATGATCATATTTTAGTTACTCGACAGCTATCATTAAGTTCGTTTAAAGGAATATTTGAAGAGCCATTAGCTAAATGGGAAGAAGAATTAAAACTTTCAAAAGATTTTATTAAAGAATGGAGCGAATTTCAAAAGTATAATACCTACTTAATTTAAATATATATTTTTTAGTATTTACGTTATTCTCAAAACATAGAGCTATATAAATAAATTTAATTTAAGTAAATTGTGAAGTACTTATGAATAAAAAAAATATCTTAAATAATTTATTAACATTAGTCAATAATATGTATATTTTTTTATCTTGTCATAATTGTATTTATAACAATGTGTTTAAGATTATTCATGTTAGTTTTATCAATATTGAATTTTTATCGTAGGTATTAAATTATACTTAAATATTCATAATATTTAAATTTGACTTGAAATAATATCCATTCTTATGTTTTTACTGCAACAATAACGTATTATAAAAGCTTGGTAGGTACCTAAATAATACTATCTAAAATTCTAGACATCTAATAATATCTATTTAAATATACTTATAATTATAGATTACTTAAAATTGTTCGTATTAATTTTAACAAATACATTTAAATAAAATTATTAGGACATGGTTGTATTTAAAATCCATATTTGACAATCCAATGGTTAGGGATCAATTACCAGAGCAAAATAAGAAATTATTCATTTTTGAACGAATATGGAAACGAATAATGAAAATTGCATTAAATAAGCCTTGGGTGAGTTTATAAATAAATGCATAATAATTTATGATCACGTTAACTTTATAATACAGAAGATATTTTTTTAGATTTATATTTTAGTCATTTAAATTTACATACAAAAATATTGTATAAAAACAATTTAGGTTATGAAGATTGGTTCAGATAAACGATTATTGGAGCAATTAATCAAGAGTAACATTCAAATTAATAAAGTTCAAAAAGCAATTGAATTATCTCCAGTGGCTCAGCAAATAAAACACATGGACACACGGTTTTTCAATAATAGGATAAAATAGCTGATTCGAAAATCTAGACCTACTCCCTACTCCTTGCTGCCGCCAACAGCACTCATTATCAGTTTTCAGTTATTATCTATCACATTGTTATCAATTATCACATTGTTATCAGTTATCAGTATTATCGTATATTTTTATTATTTTAAATATCTACCCATTGTTATTTGCCGTCAACCACAACCCGTTATTCAAATACTTGTACGCATCAATTTGATCGATTTATGCACATTAGTTGTTACCTAAAAAAAAAATATGGTCATTTGATAAAAAAACTTAGCCCAATAATATCTTATTTTTTCTTAATACTTCGAGGGGGGGGCTGCACCCTCACAACCACCACTGCTCATTGACTGCAGTAATTTTATTCTCGATTCAGAAATAATTAGAGTTCAATAATTACACTATCGCGCTATGTGAGCATAAATACATTTTTTTTAAAACATATTCTCACTAATGAGAGACTCACCAAGAATCGATTGGGTCCCAGGACATCATAATTTTAGTGGACCCTCTTTTAACTTTAATTTCAAAAAAAATTGTATTACTAAATTTTAAAAACTTTAAATTATGGTATAATTTTATCAGCAAGTAACCTACCAACTTTCTATACTACTGGATTATTAACAAATTATATATTTGAATATAAAATTAAATATTTGACTTATGAGGAATGCTTGTTTAACTATTAAGGAGAAAATTAAAAATACACAGGTACACTCTATGTAATTGTTATAATTACTTAAAAGTCTAAATTTAAGTAGTAAAAATATTTTTCAGTAATGATCCTAACTTAACTTGAAACGAAAAAAAGACAGTACAAAAACATTGAAGAATCTGAAGTACAAACAAATTCTTATTAATTGATTTTTTATTAGTCAAAGTCCAGATGAAGGATTATTAGGACATAATACATATTTTACAGTTTTCTAAATTCATTTTAAGGACTATTTTTTTTTAATATAAGAATACATACCTACCCTATAATATTAACTCAGAAACTATAACTGTTCGTATTTTGATTTAAATATAGCAGAATTTTCAAAAAAAACTCATCTAGATGCTAAACAGTATACGGTAAGAAAAATTTATAGTATTTGAAAAAAACGATTTTATTATGCATTGTTTTTATTATTAAAATTTAGAAAATAGTAAATTGTTAACTGTATGATTAAAATAACATAGAAATATAGTTATCTGGTCGTGATCTGTGATGGCCGATCAGTACATTTAAAAATAATTCAACATGTGTTATTATGCATATGTAAGAATTTCAATAATTTTTTAGATATTTGAGATGAACGATGAATTTGACTCTACTTTTACAGCTATGTTCACATCATGAAGAGGCCGAAGATACTGAAGTTTGTATATTTACACACTAATGTGATAAATTTTATAAATCTATCTTGATTTTTTTGTTAAATAACTTTTACATAAAAATAATTATTTATAACCATTCGTTACAATTATTTATTTTTAAATTATGATTCTCTACGCGTTTATATTCATTTAACTTTTTAGCATTCGATAATCAATATGTATAAAAATAAAAATAATAATATTTCATATTCACTGAATGTAGAACATTTGATACACATGGCAATAAATAATTTTCAAGGACATATTAATCAACATTTTTTAGTGACACTATCAGAAATTGTAGTGTACCATACAAATTTACAAAAATATTACATTGATTTTAGTGGAGACAATAAATCCCATGCACAGATATTTTACATCATAATACATTTCTACATTATAAAATTGATTTAACTATATAAACCTACTAAATACCAGGATGGTGAAATAGATTGTATAAATCATTATAGTAAATGTGAAATATGTGAAAAAAGTTGAATTAAAAAATCAATTAATTAATTAAAATTATATTTATTTGTGTGCTTATTATTATTGACAATTGTTTATAAGATTGAAACATCAAACAATAAAACAATAAAAACAAAAATATAAACAATGAAAAGAGCAATAGGTACATGCGCAAATTGGTCGAGTAGAAAGAACTTCCGCAGATGTAACTTATATCCAAAAAAAAAAAATCGCATCACGTCAGTATATTATGAATTGAAATATGTAATTCAAAAAATAAAAAATATTATACATTACTTCTTAAAATATTTTTGCGCGAAATATAAAATGTAAATCTTTCAATTCGTGTGTTTAATTTGTTAATAATAATTAATGGTTATATGTTTCGAACAAAAAACCTCAAAATTAAATCAAATTAAAACCTCAGTACACGTCATATAGTAAACACATAGACACACACGCTGCCAGTAAACTGCGTTCCTATAATATTATATAGTTGTTGCGCCGCGACCGCTGCTACGAATTTAGCGGTTGTCGGCCGCGATTTGCGAGGTGTTGGGACGTAGGGTTACCCACCGGTTGGTATAAACAATAAAAAATAATTTACAGCGCCATGCGCACCAAGTTATAACATGGTATAAATGAAAATATGGTTACACATAAATAATAATAATAATAATAATAGGCGCCCGAAGCGAACACGAAGGTATAAAAAATATTAATAATAGCAAAACATACGCTCCACCCGTATGAGGACGCTTACAACACAAAATTACAAAATTACAAGTTACCAAATACCTCGACTGCGATGGTAACACGATGATCGACGATCGCAGTAAAATGAGACTGAGCCGCAACTCCAATCCTCCACGCCGGCGAGGCGACAACAGCTTGAGACGAACGCGCCTAATGACGATCACGTCTATGGCGGAGGTGGCACACGCGACAACGGCGGCCGTTTGCGAACCGACAGATGACGGCGATGTGTATAATAAATTCTACGGCGGAACAACGCGATTATACGCGTTCGAGTACCTATGCGTCAACGAGGTAGCACGGCTTTCCCTCGCGACACACTATTGTTGACGCACTTGAAAATACGTGGTTTGCACGACGGATTTTGGAAGTCGACGATACGACAAATCGCTCGAACAAGACTTCGAGCCGAGCGTCAATACTCTTCACCACGGCGGACGTGTGAAGAAAGTTCCGCAAAGTCCGAACGTCGGAGATCAAAAGCAATGAATCCAACGTAACGGTCAACCGCGTCGGCTACGACGGAGCGGGTGGCGTTGACAACTTCGCGAACTTTTACAGTCGCATCAATTTAGGGGAACCGGTAAGCCGACTAGATAGCGGGAAACGTATCCGCGTTCGAACATCCTCCCACCGTGAGGCTTCGCATTACTGGATATGTGTAGACGTGTAGTGGACGGATGCACCAGGTCCATGCCGAAGTTGAAAGCTTGATATCGCCTCAGTCGGTCACCAATGCATGGCGTGTCAGTGGTGTACATTTTTTTGTTTTTAATAATATATTTAAAAATGCAATCGACGATTAATTAGTATAATAATACAAAATGAATAATACAAAATATACGAACATATTATAATGGTTCATTAACATGAACAAAATACAAAATAATTAATAACGTAAAAAATAAATATATACTGTGTGTTCACCAATTTAGGGAACATTGAATTTCTCAACCAGATTAAATTTGAATAAATCGAATTTTTTTTACAAACTAGTGATTTATAAATGAAGACCTTGGGGCAACAACGAGACATGTCCATATTTTGGTCAAAATCACATTTTCACGTAATAAAATAGGAAAAAAAAATCTGAATCATATGGTGTAACAATCGGATATGTCCGACTGTTATATATGGAGTTATAATATAAATGGACTTGTCTTGTTGTTTTTTTTGGGGCAACAACAAGATATGTCCGGACAAGTCTGGTTGTTGCCCCAAATACTGGTAGCACTGTAAAACAACGTGTTTATCAATAAATTAATGATTACAGAGAATGAAAATCAATAAATTAAAATATTATACTTAATATTATATTCTTTGTTGTTATTGTTAAATGTTAATTGTTATTTAATGTTTATGTTATTATTAATTAATAAGAGTGAATTTAAATTTAATTAATGAAATGAGTATATGTATGATAATTAATAACGGTGCAACAACAAGATATGTCCATACCATATTTAACATTACGGTGCAACAACAAGATATGTCCAAATAATATTGCATTACAGTGCAACAATAAGATATGTCCAAACAAGTTTTTATTGCTTCCTATAATTATTATTAAAAGTTAAGCATTATCTATAAGTGCATAAGTTGTATGTACCCTAAAACTTAGATATACCATTTTTATAAAAATTCTAATTTTTTTTTTTTTAATTTATAAAGTTTTTTTTGTTTCCTGAATAAAAATAAAAAAAGGACATGTCTGGTTATTGCCCCAAGGTCTTCAAATATACATTTGTAGATTAATTTCAAAATTTTTATCATATCGGTATGTGCATGCATAATAAAAATATTTATTTTTTTTTGAATAGCTGCAAAATTACTTAAAAAAATTAGGCCTATCCGAATATGGTGTTTGAAATAGGTGTTGCTATTGAAAAAAAAAATATTGCGCATGCGCATACTGAAATGATAAAAATTTTGAAATTTATCTACAAAATATATACATAATATATAAATATATTTATATACTCGTATCACTGGCTTGTAAAAAATAAATTCGATTTATTCCAATTCAATCCTGCCGAGAAATTCGATGTTCCCTAAAATGGTGAACATGCGGTATTATATCAACCCATTGAACACCTGATCCCAATAATAAGCGCTAGGCGACATCTTTGGTGACCAAGTATAGTATAAAAAATTAAATAGGTAGATTGGAACGGATGGCTGACATCGTAAATACGCAAGGTATACATAGTACTCCTAACTGGTACCTAGCGCAACAAAATGAACGTTACTTAGTAGGTAACAGTACGAACAAGACGTCGAACGGGGCGTCAAGACTCACCACACGCAGCGATCACGCTGACGATTGCGTTTAACGAAAAACACGTGTACCTATCTATATGTTGTGATCAAACAACCAAGAAAAACGTAAAATATGACAACATTGACAACGCACGTGC